CTTCGCAGGTCGCGAGCGGCTGGCCTTGCCCCGCGGGGCGGACTCCAGGTAGATTCGGATCCCGGTGGCTTCGGCTCTCTCCACGGTCTCCAGGCACTCCTTTCCCGATAGTTCCCGGCTGTCCGGGCTGACTGGCTATCGGCTCTCCACGCCGGTCCTGAACTGCTCTTTCCACCCTCCCGGGATGCTCTTCCAATCCCTTTTATTTCGAAATCCCATCCGTGTGTGATACTTTCTGTACCTAAATACGAGGTGTCTCCGCTTCTTCCAAAGCAACTCTCAAACACTCTGGCTTTTTGGCCCGGAAACTAATTGGAAATGATCAATTTGGAACGACATTCGTGCCCCAAAAAACTTTTCGCCCGGGCTGCCCAACTCTGCAGATCTCTAGAGGGAAGACCCCCAAAACAGCAAGAGGGCACGACAAAGTCCAAATCGGGGCAAAGTGTTAATTTTGCATCGTGTTCTTCCCAACTGTCCAGCAGATACCCTAGCGGAGCGTACAAGGGAAGGGCGCGAGCAGGCTCCTGGCGAGCGAAAGGCCAGACCTTTTCCTGAGTTTTTTGTTCTCTTTTCTTTTTAAACTCAAGGAAGGCCTCCAACAGCTCTCTGACCGGTCGTCCGGCTCTTGGGGGTAGATAGCCCAGGGTGTTGTAGAGAAGCCCCTTAGATGTGTGTGTTACTTTTCCGTGTTTTAATTACTCTTCTTGTAATTGTAATGAGCTCCTTGTGCGTGAGCCCGGGAGAGGTGGCGGAAGAGAGCGGCTGCGTGATCAAGTGCGCGCCAGCAGCCACGCAGGCGGCGAGCGCCCGAGCCCGGGGATTTGCCGTAGCACCCTCCTGTAGCCGCTGCTAGTAAAACAGGCGGCTGAGGACGCGCGGCGGATTAGGACAATATTTGCCCAACATGACGCAGAATACTGAGGAGCGCCGAGTGCCGGTCGCTAAAGAGGCTCTTGAATATAAAGTTGTGCGCTCTAGAGCTCTCGAGCGCTAATAGCATATCCCGCCACAGAGCCCGAGTGACTCTGACTCGGCGACGCACGATTTCTGATTAAATCCGAGGGTGGCTTCAGACACCTACTTTTACAAAGAGAGGTGGGGGACAGGGAGAGCGAGGGAGGGGGTGGCAGGAACAAGCCGGCAGCCAAAGCCTCTTCTCGCCTCCTCCCTTCCAATTACACTGTCAGCTGCCTCCTCTCCGGCGGCTGTGAAATCGTCCTAATCTTCCAGATCTCCGCAGCCGCCGAGTTCCCAAATTGGGGGGATCGAGGCTGGATTAGTGCACCCGGAGTCCCCCGACCCTCTGAGAGGAAATTGTGTAGACTTTGCATTAAGGCGATCTGTGCATTCTCCCCTCTCCCGCACACACCAGTGGCGCTGCCTTCTTGGCTCCCAAAGTCACTCCCACCCTGGGACCCTGGACCGTCTGGGTGAGCAGAGCCTGCTAGGACAAGGACAGTCCCTGGATTTCTAAGACCCGGTGGGGTATTTTGGAGATTGCTGACAGTGGAGTGTGTCCCCTAACTGTCCCAAAACGAAATTAAAACTTTGAGAGTGATTGAAAGTAAAGGGAGTCCCCCTGGGGGCACTGAGGTGCCCCTCAGAGGTGCCTGCAGCAGCCGGAGGGTGTCACTGGTCCCTGAACTGTGCCTGGGGTGTTCAGCCTTGGGTAGGATCCCTCTGCTGCTCAAGCCAGAGCTGTAAATGCTACTCATCAGCCCGCACTTCCCAGTCACCGATGAACTGGATCAGTCACGTACTGGAGTGTGGAATAAAACGGATGGGCTGCCTCTCCCCAAGCCCCTGGCCTGCCTCAGAGGCAGGCAGAACTGAGGCCCAGTCTTTGGCCAGAGGGACCAAGAGCCCTTCCCCTAGAGCCACAGCAGGCCTGGCGGTCTGCTCAGGGACACTCACACCCCCCACGTGTGTCCTGGTCTCCAACACGGCAGGAGGTGGGGTGTGTGCCGGGTGCTTCCTGACCTTTGTTTCCCAGACTCTCAACTACAAAAGCTTCCTCGAATTTGAGGACCTTGGAGATCTGCTCTCCGGGGGTTGGGGCTTGAACCGCTGAGGTCTGAGGGTGCAGTCGGCACCCCTTTCCTGCCCTTACCCTGTCCCCGCCGTTTTCATTTCCCTCCTCTAGTGTCCACCCCACTTGGACAAGGCCGGGTCAACCAGCTGGGCGGGGTGTTCATCAACGGGAGACCCCTGCCCAACCACATCCGCCATAAGATAGTGGAGATGGCCCACCATGGCATCCGCCCCTGCGTCATCTCCCGCCAGCTGCGCGTCTCCCACGGCTGCGTCTCCAAGATACTCTGCCGCTACCAGGAGACCGGGTCCATCCGGCCTGGAGCCATCGGAGGCAGCAAGCCCAGAGTGAGTGTCTTTGCCACGGAGGCTGGCAGCAGGCCTGGCCCTGGGCTACAGGCCCTGCGTGGCAGCCCTGTCACCACCCTGTGCCATTCAGCAGTACCGGGTGTCTTTAGGCTTCCTGGAGAAATTACAGGAAGAGTGTCCCAACTCCCAGTGTGTCCCCACTATTTTCTCACTATCTGAATCTCTCAGAGATGAGGATAATTGTAGCCTAGGCTGCCCCAGACCTGCAGGCCAATGATCCGTGATGGGGGACTGTCCTACATCTGCCTCAAATCCCCTCCCACCACGGTGGACCTCAGGAACTCTCCAAGTCTTGCCTGTGTCAGCGAGGGACCCTGGGGGGCTCCTCTTTAGGTTTTATTCTCTCTCCCTGCCTCTCCTCACCTGTCATCCTAGGGACCAGGTGGGGGCTTCCTGAAAGAATAGGAGCATTCTTGGGGTGGGGCACGGTGACCAGCGCTACCAGCCCGGGATCTTGGGAGGTTGATATTAAAAGTATCTTCCTTCCCCACCCCATCTTTCCACTCCTGCTCTCCTGCCTCCACCTCTGAAGCAGGTGGCGACTCCGGATGTGGAGAAGAAGATCGAGGAGTACAAGAGGGAAAACCCAGGCATGTTCAGCTGGGAGATCCGGGACCGGCTGCTGAAGGACGGCCACTGTGACCGCAGCACCGTGCCCTCAGGTGAGAAGACAGCCGGAGCGGAGAGGCTTCACCCAGTCCGGTGGGGCTTGCTGTGCTGGAGTGAGGAGGAGACAGAGGATGGCTGATGGGGGTCTTGGAGAAAAATTGGGAGGAAAAGGAAGCAAGAAAGCAAAGAGAGAGCAAAAAGTAAGTCAAAACAGGAAGACGGAAAGAGATGAGGGACAAAGTTAGGAGAGAAGGGGAGAAGGAAGAAAGGAAGTGAGGCAGAAGGGAGAGAGAGGGGAAGCTGTCAGGAAGGAGAAGAGGGAGAAGAGCAAGGAGGGAAGGAGGGAGGGAAGAGAAAAGACAAAACCCAGAAGGCCAGGTGGAAAAGAGAGCCCCCTAGGAGCTTTCTGGGCGAAAAGGCCCGGGGAGAGGAGCCTGCCCCGGGAAGGCTGAGACCCAAGGGCCGCCCTCTCGGCCCCGTCATCGCTTCTGCCAGTGAGTTCCAGATACGAAAGTCCCCAACCAGGCAGCTTGTGGAAGGGAAAGCAGCTGCACGTGGGTGTGCAAGGCACGGGAGTGTGTCAGGGTGTGCACGGGAACGGGTGAGGTGGGCGCCTCTGCCATGCCTGAGCTCTGGGCCACCCGGGAGTGGCCCTCGGTGTGGCTGGGCTGTCCTGAGTCTTCCTGCCGGCGTGGGTGCACTTGCTCGCTGCCCGCAGGGTGGTGGCTCTCCTGTCCGCGAGGAGGGGCAGGAGGGGCACAGCGACTGTCACCCAGGGTCCTCCCCACCGCGGGCTGTTTGGCCCCAACAACTTATACTCGCTCTTTTGCCTTTGAATTTCTGAGGTTTAGTGAGTTCGATTAGCCGCGTGCTCAGGATCAAGTTCGGGAGGAAAGAGGAGGATGAGGAAGCGGACAAGAAGGAGGACGACGGTGAAAAGAAGGCCAAACACAGCATAGATGGCATCCTGGGCGACAAAGGTAGGGACCTGCAGGGCCGGAGGGGCGGAGCCCGCGTTTTCCCACTCTCCCCGGCGGCCGGCCCCTGAGGGCCCGGCTTCGAGTGGAGAAGTCGTAGGCCACGGCCTGAGGCTCCCAGGCCCCCAGGTGGAACCCCAAGGACCAGGGGGGTGCGACCCTGAGCGTGGAACCTGGGCTGCTGGGGTAGCCGTCGTGGGCCCTGCCCGTGCAGCCTACGGGGCGCTGGTCCCCGAGG